CCCCCCCCCCCCCCCCCCCCCCCCCCCCCCCTCCCCTTGCGAGTCGCTGTCACTGATGGGAAGCCAATGTGTGACATTGGCCAGTGTGCACGTCCTGGAAATGAGCTCACCACCGATGAGAGGGAAGACTGAGTGAGGATGGAGGGAGGGAGGAAATAAGATCACAACGATTGTCTCTCAGATTCCTGGTGAGCTGAGATGAAAGAGAAAGGAGGGGAGACCCAGTGGAGCACGGAAGCGAGTCAGGGAACACCCAGGAGACAAAAGATGCTCAGGGGAGAGGGGGAAAAAAAAAGCCCTGGAGTTGCAGAATGGGGGGAAAAAAATATCACACACTTGACAGTAAATGCAAGACGATGAAATGTGGGGAAAAACGCTCAACTGAAGCCTTGAGAAGCCAAGTGCTGTTTGGTGTTTGATTTTGAAACATCATTCAAAACATAAATCAAGATACATTGCTGGTTTAGTCACTTTTCAAGCGTCTGTATGGATTTGCTTATTGAAGATGAAGCAAGAAAAATAAAACTTCCCGCACACACTGGTGCGCTGAAAGCCGTGCCGCCTTTTAAATTCAGAAACACAATTAAGAGGGGCGAAAAGTCCCAATCTCAAGTCTGACATCATCCGTCTGTGTTCCAGGATGAGAGCTCACGAGAGTGAGATCATCCCAGTAAACTGCGCAGGCCTCACTTCAGCGTGTGTGAGCACAGCACAAGTGTTCAGGCGAGCATCGCAGTCAAGTCGGGTTATTGGCAAAAGACTGGCGTGATTTAATTTGACACTGAAAGGCTTTTTACCAGAATCGATATGGAGTGTCGGGATCCCTTGGTGTGGGTATGAGTACGATTTGTTGGTCTCGATGTAATTTAGTAGAGTGATTAAGAAAATGGGGGTGAGTGGCTGCAATGATCATTTTTAGCCCTAATCATGATTAAACGGACAAAGGTGACAAAAGGCAGATTTGAGGTCGCCTTTAAGCATTAAAAACGGATCCAGGTGGTGACCCACTGAACAAACAGGAGCCGAGGTAACAGCGAGCTGACTTTTGGCCTCCGTGGCAAAAAAAAAAAAAAAGGTGAACATTTTACCCAGGGGACGGATAAGAGCTTCCTTTTTTTTTTTTTCCGGTTCAACATTTGTTTGGCGGAAGCGTCAGGGTCCATTTAACCAAACGTATCTTTCGGTATTCAGGCTACCGGTGACCTCTGCTGCAGTGGTCTAAATGCCGCTTTTAGAGACAAAGTTAAAGCGGCTTTTACAGCGTAACTCCTGGCTTGAAAATTGAAGCCAATGAGTAAAGTTCGAAGGGGATGATTTGTTGGGACACCCGCCTGACATAATGGGACCCCCGGTCATGACCCCTATGGGTAACCCATGAACATTTTGGGTGTCCTCACATCCTTTAATCCTCAAACATGTGCTTTTATTTAAGAAAAGAAGGACAACTGGAAAAATGCCCAACGGAAGCTTTCCAAATTCAACTGTTGTGTAACCGAGCTTCTAAAATAAGAACCTACTTCCTGCCCCGGGCAAAAAGCTGGGTACATTTTACATTTTGGACTATTTATGGCATTGAAATATTTTGAGAAGAGGGAAAGTAATGACTTATGTCACCGATACTGCTATTTTTCCTTCTGCTGCACATTTAATGGGTAAAACATTGTGAAGAGACGATTTTGCATGAGTTTGGGCCCTTAAACACAGATGTGGACTCATGGAAAATCGTATTCCACCACACGCACGCACACGCGCACACTCATAAAGCGAAACCAGACCTCGAGCACACCTTTGATCAGCTTACACCTCGAAAGAGTGCTTCCCATGAATCACCACTTTAAAGAGACTCAGCAATGGAGTGACGCGCAACATCCCTCACACGCGCCATATCAAGCTGGGACACATCAAGAGTGGAACGGATGGATCTAAGCTGTACAATTGTGAAAATGATTTGCTGACGATCGTGTTCCCAAGTGATCGTGAGCATGCTCAGCGCTTACTGATGCTAATCGTTTTTTATCCCAGTCTTGACTTTTTCAAATGGACTGAAACCACCTCAGCGGATCAAATTGTGAAGGTCACAGAACTTGAAATATGTTCACTTGTGGGATGGATGGCAAACGGCCAATCTATTCTCTCCCATGGCCACAAAAATTCTCGACGCTTTGTTCACCAACAGGTTGCTAAATGTGTCCTTCTGCAGTTTGAAGGTCAGCAGGTGATGCGTCGTAGGCGTTTTACGGCTTTGGGCTAAAACGGCCGCCTGCAACATCTTTAAACACAAACGATAGAGCGACAGGGACGCCAAACCCAAACAATGTGTTAAAACGCGCCAGTGAGCTGAGAATGACTACTTTTGGGGATCACTTTTGTCAGTCAGCCACTTCAACTTGACCCAGCGCAGCGCCCGCCCGCCCCCACTGTTGATATCAAAAAAGTCACTCCAGTGCAGCTTCAAAGATGTTCATATTAGTAAACAAAATGATTTAAGGAAGAACCTTGACCATGAACGGTGAAAGCAAAAAAAAAAAAAAAGTCCTATGTGTTTTTCCCTTTGTGTCTTACCTCTCCTGCTCCCTGGCGGTTTCCCAGCGGTGCCATTTGAAGGCAGGAAGGACTGAGGCCTTGGTCCTGCTTCTCCTCTGGCTCTACATCAGAGCGGCCGGATCTGCAGGGGGCAGCACGGGAGATGAAATATCGCGGCAGTGACGGATGCGCTCTGTGAAAACGCGCAGACAAATTGATTGATGCACGACGTCGGGATGTATCGCCTTCAGCAAACGTCTACCCCCGCAGACTCTCTCACGTGCGGAGGGGGAGGGCAAAAGTGAGGCCTGCACACTTTCCAAACGTGTTCCACCAAATATATTTCCAGACGTCTGAAGTCTGTCTGCTGTTTTTGCGGGCAAAAAGGTCACATCACGGATGAGATAACAACGGAGAGTCCAATAAAAGCCACCAAGTTATTTACAAGAGAGGTTTCTGGTTTTAAAAAAAAAAAAAAAGTAGGTTGAGAGAGCCTTCTTTTAAAAATAAATTACATAAAAATTTGCGAATAGATGAATCTGAGGGTGATGAACTCCGATTTGCTGCGTTTATATCTGCTTTGAGTCACAATGGAAGCGTCTTTGGTACCAGAAAATTATTTCACATCTGACCTCAGTACCTTGGCCACCCGGTGTGAGAAACTGTACTGCCTCCGATGAAAAAGTTAATCATTCAAGTGCTCAAACAGTAAGTTTGGGTTGTTCCCTGCTACACAGTTCATACTACTGCTATGCATTTTTTTTTCTCCCACACTTTAAAACAGTTCTGAGGTGTCTTGCTTGTGCTACGCCCTGAATTAAAAATACCCGGAGCATCCAGAATTGTACCACACTTTGCACACCCTAGTTTTGTCTTGCTGAAATTAGCCCATTTCTTGTATGCGATTACGGTGCACGATCGCGACATCTACAGCCATCAACATTTTTTTTTTTTCTATCGTGAGAGGTCGAGTTTAGCGAGTTTGAAAAGAGTGGAATCAACCGTGCATCTGTCTGATCTCTTACTCCAGACAGGCCTGGCGGAACGAGCACGTGGTGATCAAAGTGATGTCTGGCTCCTCTGGAGGTGCCTGCAGGTATTTGAACAAACGCAAGAGCTGTCATGACATTCGTGGATGACCGCACACAACACAATGACCGACTACCGGCAAAATATCATGAGGAGCAAAACAGCCGCAACAAATCGGTGGCCGTTTCCAAAAAAAAAAAAAAAACATGGCTGATTGGTGTACAGCAGGGGTGCCCAATCGGTCTAGTTTGCACTTCTTTGGATCCATTCAGCAGGGGCAAGTTGAGAACACTTGCATGCTGTCTGCAAATACCAACATTTCATATGCTGGGGGGGGAAAAAGAAAAAAAAAAAAACAACCCAGGTGTGTTGGGAGCACTGTTCATTCAGGACTTGTGTTTCCTTTCCATGAAATATCAGTCCTATGTCGCGGTCCGTCACGTTGGCCGCTGCTCGCCATGCAGTGGGCGTTGAAGGATGAATGCCGGGCTTTGTACGCTGGCATGTGCGGGGCGCCTTCACTTCCAGTCTTACTGGCAGAAGGAAAGAACGTGCTGCAAAACATGAGGAATTCCGAACTTTGCCATTGAGACTGTAAAGTTTGGTTGCGCTCGCATCCAAAAATCTGGAGGAATTTGGAAACTTGCCGTAATCCAACACGGCATATGATGCACTGGATATATGGTAGCTTCTCATGGGTTTTTGGATGGAAATGTGCAAGGTGAGCTGCTCTGAAGCAGAGAGGGGACCGTGTGCACCGCTCGAAGCACACACATCTGCAAAGCACAAAGAGAGGCTTTTGGAAAAGGAAAATTCCAAGGAGCCAAAATGCAACGGGAAACACGGGTAACGCGGCGTTAGCTTTGGAAGCACGGTCACTATTATGGCGCGACTGTTGAGCTGAACCCACTGTGACAAGCGCCGGGCGGCACCGGCGGCAATTTACGGGACACTCCGCTCCTCCCTGTAAACGCTGTTCAGCCCAGCACACATTCAAATATACTTCTGTGTCTTTTCCTCTTTTTTTTTATTAGAAGCAGAACACACACACAAAGGAGGTCTTTCATCGCTTGAGCCTGTTGCTTTTTAAACTCTCATTAAAGCTGCTCCCTCCTGCCGGGATTATACAGCAGCATGAGGGAGGCTAGTGATTGCAGGTGGAGCCGATTGCAGTCATGCACAAGAAGATTCGAAATGTGCAAAAACTTGACATTGCCATCTGGGCAGTTCGGAAGAAAGATCCCTCAAAGTGGGACGACGCGATAAACTTCATTTGGGGACAATGATTTGCAATTATTTCATTTCTTCTTTTTTTTCTTTCTTTTTCGTAACTTTGGTCGGCGGCGGTCGCCATAATAAGATCAGTAATCCAGTCCGGGCTACTGTTGTTGCTGCTGGAAACACGAACCATCTGACTTCCTGTGGGGATTTGTGCGGAGATGGACCGACCTGACACTACATTTGGATACAACTGTGTCAATGTTGTTCCAAAATGGATAGTGGCGGAACCGCAGACGTGTATTATCAGGCAACGGCACCCGAGCAGCCTGCCGTCAGCGTTACAAAAAGAATCAAAACGGTGTCGCTTTTTAAGTTATTGATCACAGTAAAAACAAACACTGAGAGGCGACTGTATTTTTTCAGCCAAGCCATTTGCTTTGACCTCCAAAGCCCAAGGCAACAAGGACACCAGCAGTTGATGATGGCGTTAACATTTATCCGCTCTCATGACGAGAGCATCTCGACATTTCTCCAGAAAGAAGAGGCTCAAGGTGCAAGTTTTAATGCACCTGGACAAGAGCCCGAACCACCACCAGACTCTGGAAAAATGTCGGCAATGCGTGGAAAACACAATATTGGGGCGTCATTGTGTCATCGCGTGTCAGAGAGAAACATACCCAGCAAAGTGGAAATGACCTTGCGGCAAAATTGACAAAAAAGCAGAGATCATGATAAAGGCCATTTGGGTCCAAACATCCCCCCCCATCCCTCCACGAGAGAGCACCAAAGTGGCAAATCAGCCGCTGCAATATGTGTGTGGTTTGTTGCAGACACAGGGTAAACATTAACTTGCAGGGTGGCGCTTTCAAAAGGCAGAATTGAGCAAATCTGTTGCCTCGCCTCTCGTCCAAAGTCAGTTCCAGCTAATAATAATAACAACAATAATAATAATAATAATAAAAAATCTGTTGCCTCGCCTCTCGTCCAAAGTCAGTTTCAGCTAATAATAATAATAACAATAATAATAATAATACACGACCAGTTCAGGGTGGACCCCTCCTACTGCCCAAAGACAGCTGGGGATAGGCAGCCTTCGAGATGTTGTTCATCCTTCCATTTTCTGTACCGCTTTAGCTTACTGCGTATGTAACTGTACATTCTGCATCATATCGTACAAATCTCACGGGGGGGAAAAAAAGTAACCGACACAGACTGGTGGCACACTCTTTCCATCTTCCTCAGGCAAGGTCATAACATAGCGAGCACTAAAATCAAAGTGTTTTGGTCGGCGTATTAGTGGTGCCGCGAGTCTTGATTGGCAGGGCGTGGTTTCACTCGAACCGCACAACGGTGTGGGTTGCCCCATAAACTTGCCGCAAGTCCCTGTGTGGTTTCTTTACGGGGCGCAGTCTCTTCAAACAAAGGCCACACAAGCGGCGGGTCATCTGGGTAACGACCGCACTTTTGCATCATTCACTGTAAGCGACGTGCCGCTAAGTCGAATGAAGAAAAGAGTCTTCAGAAACGCGCAACAATAAAAAAAACCTGAGAGGAATGCTTATTGCTTTTGAATTGGCATGTGACGCTGACAGTAAATTGGCGGCTCGCGCATGGAATCTACTTTTCCATATGCACTACATGGGGTCCAAAATAATTCCAACCATGCCAGTGTGCTACAAAGTGGAAGGTTGCGAGATTAAACTTTGAAGCTGCCATTCCAAAAACACAAAAAGAACCTAGAAAACGCCGGCCAGGCGGAGAAATCCAACGAGGCAAAATGAAGTGCACTAATGGAGGATTTCTTGGAAAAATGTACGGTGATAAGGATAATGAGGATAATGATAGAGAAATTGTTTCCCCTGTGCCGCACCCGGCATCGCCGGGACATCGGCTTCAACACAGCAGAAGAGATAGAAAGAGCCGGTCTATTTATTTCCACGTGTGATAGGGAGGGCGCATTATCTTGGGGAAATAAACACAAGTGTGCCTGCGTTCGCGTTGGAGGCCATCGGGTCAGGGAGGCTTTCAAAAAACACAGCAATGGCTTTTCTCCGCAGTCAAAGAAATGACTCGTTTTCATCCGTATGCGCGGGCTTGTTGGTCATGGATGCACAGGAATGATCTTTGACGTTTCCTGTCACGTTTCAGTGTTTTCTATGCTTATTGTTTCCCTTTCATTGCCTGTAACTTTACTGTTTTGGGCGACCGCCAATCATGTCTTAAGCAGTGTTTGTTGGAGCAGCAGGCGTCGCACGACCTGCTCAGCAGTGAAAGGTTAGCTAGGAGTCGCCGTTGCCTGCGGAGCGCTCACATTCAAACGATTCCATTTCGAATCGTGCGTAAAAAGAAAACCCTGATTGCATTATTCGAACCATGAGGGAGTGACAATATCATGTTCGCGTCGGAGCTTTTCCAACCCGACTCAAAAGTTGAAGAAAAGATGAGTTCGGTTAACGCCGTGACCGCTTACTTTGACACATGCACCGATGGACTTTGTTTTTGTGAACAGAAAAGTGGCTCCACAACGGGAGTGTGTGGAGCCTCCCCAAAATGATTTAGAAGCAGCGAAATTTCTAAATCTCTGTCTTGGTTTACATACACATCGGATGCCCCCCCCCCCCACCACCCCCTGAACAAGATATTGAAGTGGTGGGAGGAGGTTCACGGCAAGATTGAATGTTTTTACACGACCCTTTTGGGAATGTTGAGTTCCCCCCATTTGATAATTAATGCAAGCATTTTATGAGCCCTGCGTGCTGAACAACACTGGCTGGGATAATATGCTTGCATTTGACTTTTTGCTCGTTTCATGTCAGACTTTTTTGTTTCTTTTCTTGATGATTTCAAGAGTCAAGATACATTTCACAGTGAGTGACTCCTCCTGCGCGTGTT